ACCTTAAAGCAGGGATATGGAATTATCCATTTCAATAACTTTCCATCAAACTCTGCAAACTTTCTTACAGAATGGGTCCCTTTTTTCCCCCAATGCTAAAATGTTTCACACCAGACAACATTTTCTGTCCCTGAAGTCTGCCACTTATATTGCTCAGAACACTAAGAAACCATATATGTGGAAAAAAAAGAAAGGAACTGTATGTGTAGATGGATTAATAGTACGTGTGTATATGTGAATATTGGCAAAAGGAAGCGTTCTTGATTTCTGATATACCGTAAATGCCGGCGTATAAGACGACTTCCGCGAGCGCTGAAATCGGCGCCAAAGACGGGGGTCGTCTTATACGCCGGAAATACTGGTAGTTTCCGGCGTATAAGACGACGTTCTAGGAATGCGGCCTGGCTATAAAGACGGGGGTCGTCTTATATGCCGGGTCGCCTAATACGCCGGCATATACGGTATCCTTCTTTTCCAAGTCTTGATTACTTTTGCTTGAGGGGAAAAGAAACTCTTGCTCTCAATAGATGGACCTTGAATGTGGGGGAGATGGTGTGTGACAATCTGCTACTTAGCCCTTTTGCCTCTTGACCCAATGAAAGATCTGATATTATATAGCATTAGGTAATTTCAAAGCGGTAGAACTTGGATAGGTAAGACCATGTACATGAAAGGCAGACTTTGAAAAGTTTTCTCGTTTGTTTTAAATACAGGTGTTCTTCAACTTACGACAACAATTGGGACAGGAGACAGAAATTTTCATCAATAGCCAATGTGGTTGTAAAGCACGACCATGTCGCTTAGCAACAGCAATCCCTGCAGTCTTGGTTGCCATCATTAACTGAATCCCAGGGTCATTAGGCAAGACAACTTCCTGCCAGGTACTCACAACTGAGAAGTCACTGGGGAAACTGGCTGGAATTTTCACATTAAGAGAGAGTGCGAGGAGATGGTGTGCAAGAGGTGTGGAGATGATGTACTAGAGAAGATTGGAGGGGTGTGTGTGTGAGGGTGCGGTGGTGGTGGGGATGCAAGAGAGGCACTGCACGAATAAGGGAGGGCTAAGGAAAGACTGCAAGGTGGGTGCAGGAAGCACCGGGCAGGGTAATGACAGTGTGAGTGAGGTACTGTGTGAACGAGGAAGAGTTGGGAAGGGTGTGTAAGAGGCACGATGATGCATGCATAAGGGCGTGCGAAAGAGGCACTGTGCAGGTCAGGGAGGATGTGTGGGGCTAAGTAACCATCATGGTGCAAGCATAGGAGTCTGGGGATGATGTGCAAGTATGGGGAGACTTACCTCAAAGCAGTCAGCAGGGAAGGTGACAAATGGCAGTCACATGATTTACTGGGTGCTTGGCAACCAATTTCTAAGTGTGAAAGAGTTGTCAAACACCCAATCACATGAACATAGGAATGCTGGGACGGCTGGAACTCTTGAGGTCTGTTTGTAACCACCATTCAGCCTGTTGTAACTTGGAATGGTTGCTGATGCATGGTTGTAGGTCGACGACTACCTGCACACTACAAAAAGTCCTCGCTTAATGATTGCCCTGTTTAGGAAACATGGTAGGCTACCACAAGTTTTCATGTATTTCCTCTGCTACCAATTTTTAGCAATAATAGTGAGAGGATCAACAGAGCTTGCAGTTACATATCTCTGCTGTTAACTGTAAAGAATGGCGTCCAGATCATAATCAACAGACATAGTAGAAAGATACATTTCTCAGACACAGATGACAACTTCTACAAGTCACAAGAGGACTGGAAATGGTACTACTTGTCTCTCTCCCATTTTTGAAAAGACAAAGGACTATTTTAATATTTCAATAATATATTGCTACCAAAAATAAAGAAACAGCTGGACTTCTCTTCATACAAAAAAGTTGCTTACTCGAAGCCATTGAACACTTTTTAAAAATTAAAACTCAGGCATATTTAGAAAACTGTGTCTAAATATATGCTTCCTATTTTGGAATTATGTTATTCCACCTTTCAGCAACAATCCAAGCCGTTTTCAATTCTGGATGTAGAAGGTTCTCATAAGGCTTCAGAACTATTCTCTCAGATCTACAGCTTTTTGTCAGGTACAAGCAAACAGATACTTAATTCTTGATCACCTATATTACAAGAATCGCACCAGATTGTCTGCCTTCACCTGAGAAAGAGAAAATATAGACCTATATAGTCGTTTTCTCACCCAATAGACTCTAACCTGGAATGTCTCTTTACTCTCCCCGGCGGGGGTCCCTCCCCTTCAACTGGTGGCTTCACCACATTTTTCCTCTCGCTGATATGCTAGAAAACTCAAATGTCTGCTGTTGGTAATATTACTCCTTCCTCCCAAAATCCAAATGGATATAGTAATTCCAATAATGTTAATTGGAACTGGAATTTCCATCGTTAAGTGATGCAGCTATAAAGCGTGACATCAGGTGACTGCACTGCTTAGTGATGGCAATTCCAGCAATCCCCAGTTACCATTGTTAAGTGAGTACCGGGTCATTAAGCAAGGAATTTAAGTGTTTATGCCTTCTAACTTCCTGCCAGCTTCCCTGTTGACCTTACTTGTGGGAAACCAGCAGGGAAGTTTGCAAATCATGAATATGTGACTGCAAGAGCATTGTATCTGCCGGAACTTTGATGACCAATCATATCCACCCTTCGTTCAGCATCTTGTAACTTAAAACCATTTAATGTAAAGATCCATTCAACCTAAAGAACCTAAATAATTCATCTCTGCTATAATACACTGTTAACTTCCTGGTGTGAACAAGGGAAAAATAAAAGTAAATAGAGGGTTTTATCTCTATGGCTGTCAATTACACTGTCCTATGTCTATAGTCCAGAGACATACACATTCACCTAACCCTTTGTTGACACTGTATACTATATAAATCCCTAGAATTAAGGTAATTTCAGCATTCAAAGGGTGCCATAATGATATATACATCCTAAAGAAGGACTATTTATGTGGTTGCTAATATTTAACAAGGATCTGATGACACAATTGTGCACGCAGCCTTACTTTGAATATCTATCTAAAAACAAAAATATCCCTATACCACCTGAATATTTGTGCTTTCATTTGTGTGTAAATATATCATTTTCTGTAAAGCTATAATTGCAACACAAAATATATGAAATCATATTACTCATTAGCAGTACTATAATATTTGTATTTCAGTACAATAAGTCTAATCAACTCTCTATAGCTCATGATGCAATGCCTTTTTGACTTCAAACTGTAGTACATTATCAGAATTTAATTTTGTTTTTAAATCCTATGCTCTATTAAATTAAATCAATAACAAATTATATTTGTTTATGTACAAAACATTATCTGCAAAGAAAATTGCTATAAACTCCTAATAAAAAACATTATTTCTTTAGAATGCATAATTTCTTTTCATTCATCTCTTAAGAATGCTTAAGAAGCATTCAAAACTTCAAGTTTATAAATTGCTTCACCTTCTTAAATAGCTTAAACAAAATTTAGCATGCATTTGGTCTATGCTTTTATATTAGTCATAACACACGTTTGTTTTTAAGGCCACAAATCTATTGCATCTGAGGATATGCCTCAGTTTTGTATTTATATTTCATATTTCTTAACCACCCATCTCCCTCAATTATTTCAACGAAACTTCTAACTGTATGTGTGTGTGAGTTCATATATTAGAGTTATTTAACTGAAATGCTCCAGTAAATTATGTATAGAAATTTTCCTGAAAACATAGGATAGATAAGGGGATGCAACCATACATACACACCATCCATTTGCATTGGCTATGCTGATTTAAATAATGGTATTTTATAGTTCATTTGATTAATGAAGCTCATAATGATGCTTTTAATTTGTGTTGTATTTTTATTGTTAGCTACATGGAACTTCATTTTTTCATTTTTTTTATTAGAAGGGCAGGGTAATCCACTGAACATGTAAATAAGTAAGTAAATAATAAATAAATAAATAAATAAATAAAAACTGATTATCTGTAAGCTACCAGTTTCATAACATTTAGCAAAGATTAGGATGCAAATAATTTTTGTGTAGTTCAAAATTAAAGCTCACAATAGAATTTTCACAGTATATGGTGCTTAAGTATTTCAACGCTATTCTAGAATTTCCAACTAGAGTAGTTGGAGAAATATTCATCATGTGGATCTACAAAACATTTGAAAACAATGCTTCACAAAAAGTGTTGCCACAAAGAAATCATCCATTTTTGAAATGTTAAACATTAATTTTAATGTTTTAAAACATTTGATTTCTAAGGTGACTTCAATTTTTATTTCTTTAGAAACATTTATCTTTTAGGATTTTAACGTTTTAATACTGTAAGCCACCCAGAATTACTTTGATAAGAGATGGGTGCCGGAACTCCGTTCTGAGTGTTCTATGACAAAAAAAACCCCGGGGGCAGCAAATAAATTTAACAAATAAACCTTTGCAAAGCTCACACATGTAATCTGAACACTGTCCTCTCATTACCTTTGTATGCATGCCCAGAAACACTTCAATTTGGACTACTAAAAAAGTGAAGGGGCTGTGAAGACAGCTAGAGACAGTTTTCCAACAACCACATAAACCTTGTAAAAGTCTTGGCTACTTTAGTACTTTGAAAAGTAAGATTCTGGCTAATGTGCTCCACGTGCGCCTTTTTTAATGCTTTGGATTGCTTTATTTCAGCAGAGTTTAAAAATGGGTTGTAGCTTTTTATGACTTACCTTTGAACAGCATTCCAGCACAGGAATGGGGTTAAATGTACATATGCATTCTAAGTTATTAATATCCTTAGCTGAATTGGAAGGAACTTAAATTATGAACTCTTTTAAGAATTAAAGAGCTAAGATCCACTTCATGAAGAAAGAAATTGGATGGAAATAAAGCAATGCCACAAGAAAAAAAAATTATATGATGCACAAGTTTCAATGTGTTATCCAGAAATAATAAAAATGTGGATAACAAGTTATATGAAAGGACAGAAAAAGATTCCTACCTTTAAACCGACTGCTATAAGATCTGTAACAACACTGTGTGAAAACAAATGGGAGAAAATGGAAAAGTTAGAAAAGCAGTTATTGTACAGGCAATGATAAATAAAGCTAAAGAAAGAAAAAATATAAGAATGAAATGAGTTATGGAATGTTTTTGCAAAGGAAAAGGAACAGTTTAGTAACATACAATATGAAAAAGAGAGGCTTAGATAGAGCAATCAGATAAAACTTTTACAACTATTGTTAAAGGATTCCCTTTTTTTAGACGTAGACAATACAAAAAGCCTTTCTAATTTACCTGCCAAGCACATACATAGATAAAATATGCCATACTTTTTTTGGAAAAAAAGTCTCTACATTCATATATAAAGAACCAGAAGAACTAAACACTATTCATCTAATGAACTATGAAAATAAGAATGCACACTGCAGTTTCATGGATGGTCCCATTTACTACGTAGAAAAAAATATAATTTCTTCTATGTGTTATCTATAAGTTGAATTACTATCAGAATATACATCTTAAAAGCTAAGGTAGATATAAATAATAGGAAAGAGGTAGTAATACTCTATTAGGGAGAATGTTTTCAGAAAAATAACAGATAAGAGCAATGTCATACAATCTTCTCCAAGGAGCAGGGCAGTCCCTAATACATCCAAGGCCAGACTGAGAAAATATATTTCAGCAGAAATCAAAAATTAAGTCAATGCTGGCTGAGGTTGTAATCCCATTCCTCTTTTGGGAGTTGAGGAAAGACTGAATTATATTAAGCTAAACAATTCAACTATGTTAAATATCATTAGAAGTGTAATTATTTCTGAAATAATTATTTCTGGTTTTCTTACACCCAGATATAATTTAAAATGGAGATATAAAATATGCTTTTATAAATAAAATTAACTATAGTCAGCACTGGTACTTTCAGACATACTTTAATTAGAACAGGGGTGTCAAACTGCCGGTCTGTGGGCCAGATATGTCACGCAGAAGCCGCGCCCACCACAGCTCTGGCAAGGGGGAAAAAGTCACAATACATCGCAACACGTCACGTGGCGAGTTTGACACCCCTGAGTTAGAATATCATTATCTGAAGTTGAAAATCTAACACTTGAGTTGTTGTGATATGATGCAATATCAATCAACTAACTTTTTTCTATTAGTCATAGATACAATATAAATCACCATAACAATGCACTGCTACTGAGATTGCCAAACAAGAAACTTGATTTAGGAGGATTATCTGTTCCCAGTATGCATTTCTTGGACGAGTAATTTCAGTTATGGTTTCACAATTTTTTATGCAATCTCTTTCTTAATTACTAACAAAATAACTATGCTTTATTGGATAAAAATGAATATTCCTGAACAGGTATCATCAAACTGTGGTGGTCTTCATGCTTCCAATTATTTCTTTCATAATCCCTAACTATTAGCCATTCTGTCAGGAACTCATGGGACCTTGTCAAGAAAAAAACCAATTAAAAATAATCCCAAGGCCGACATAAACTAAAGCAAATTTAACACAGTATCTCAACAATACACTTATTAAATCAGGAGAGTCTAAGATAGGTTAGTAACAAGCTTAGATAAATCGTTAACAAATGAATGCCAAAAACTCTAGTGTACACAATGCAGTAACTAAATTCAGGCTTGAATGGAAAGGAGGAATTAAAACATAAAAGTTGCTGTCTAAGAAGTGTATTACAGGTAATTTCAACCAATAATCAGAACTGGGCCAAAAATTTCTGTTGAAAGACACTTGTTAAGTGAATTTTTCCGACCTTTCTGGCCACAGTTGTTACATGAATCACTGCAGTTGTCAAGTTAGTAACAGGGATGTTAAGTGAATCTGGTTTCCCCATTCACTTTGCTTGTCAGAATGATCACATGACTCCAGCACACTGCAACTGTTCATAAATACCTGCCAGTTGTCAAGCTTCCAAATTTTGATCTAATGATTTTGGGGATGTTGCAGCAGTTGTGAGTGTGAAAAACGGTCATAAGTCACTTTTTTCAGTGCCAATGTAGCTTCAAATGGTCACTAAATGAATGATTCTAAGTCGAGGACATGAATTTGCAATTTGCTCTTGCTACCTAAAATTAAAGGACTTAACAGACGTACATATATACCAAGCGTTCATATGGCAAGATAGACATTTCTATAGCCAAAATTGAAGAAAAGATCAGTTTTTTATATTATCAAAATATAAGCAAGAACATTAATAATACAACACTGTATTTTAACAGAATCAGGAAATAGAGATTTAAGCATGATAATGAAACTAAAATTAAAGAAAATAATCCATATAATATTAAAGAAATATTATAGTGTATGTCTACACTATCAGGAACTTCTAGAAGTGCTGCAATAATTTATTTATTTTTATTTATTTATGAGACTTATATACCGCTTTAAGTGCAAGCACTCTCTAAGCGGTGTACACCAGTAAGCAATGTGTATATATATATATATATATATATATATATATATATATATATATATATATATATATATATATATATATTTACATTGCCCCCAACAATCTGGGTCCTCATTTTACCTACCCCGGAAGGATGGAAGGCTGAGTCAACCTTGAGCCGGTGAGATTTGAACCGCTGACCTGCTGAACACAGTCAGCTAAAGTGGCCTGCAGTACTGCACTCTAACTGCTGCGCCACCTCGGCTCATTGTCAGAAATTTGATCATTTGCCCAGAATCAAAACTAGAAATTTAAGAAATGCATTGTACTATATAAGTGTAAAGTTATGACTACAAGCTCAACTATCAAATAAGATTTGGTTCTTCTGATATTGTTATTTAAGACTTGTACAAGGATAAAGCAGCTAAATTTTGTCAGTTAAAGTATTCAATTGTCAGAAATTTCAGCCAGATATTTAATTCTTAATCTACACTGCTTACATTTGAAAAGTTTTAAGTGTGGACTTTGGAATTAGAATAGACCTTGTAGCAAGAGAGCTGTTTAGCAAACAACCAGAACACGCTATCCAATTTCTCATTTATAGCCAGGCTCTATACTACAACCAAATTTGTTCTACCCATTTGACACAGATGTTTGATTGACAGAATCAAAAGAGGCATTCATAACAGTGAACCCATTCAATGAGCTCATTAGACAAATCAATAGAGCTAGATCAATTTCAGAGATGACCTATTAAAAGACAGAGCACAGAAAACACCACTCCTTGTCACCTGCAGCTTTCAGCTCAAGCCACTCAAACATTATTTATAAGCTACACCAGGGATCCTCAACCCCTGGTCCGTGGACCGGCATCAGTCTGTTGCATGCCAGAAACCGATCCACACAAACAAGCAAACCCCATGAAGACAGTACATGAAACCACACCCCCTCCGGACCGTGGAAAAACCTCTCTCCACGAAACCAGTCCCTTGTGCCCAAAAGGTTGGGGACCTCTGAGCTACACCCCACACTGTACAAAATGACATTGTGCTTTCTTGGGTGGCATTAGGTGGCAGACCCATATTGAATATAGACAACTACTCAACTCACAAGTAACAAAAAAATACCAGGAAAATGGTGCCAACGTGGAAACCAGATCCTGTAATAAACCCAGATGTTTTGCTACCATAGGCCCCAATGAGTACCTTTGCATGCTTTTCCTCCAATATATTCCATCATATGCCAGTCGTGTCCCTCTGAATTCTACATTGGACAAATCATGAAATTGTTGTGCAAAATAATATCAGAGCATTTCAACCTTTCAAAACACTGGATGGCAAGCTTTGAAGAATCATTTTTGGATATATGGGACTTTAACAACACCATAAGGGAGAAGGGGCATTGTCTTACCTGAATGCCTTTTCTCAGCATGATGATGGATAATCCACGGATTGGATTTCCTGAAGTCCCTTCTACCCAATAGACTAAGTCTGAGAGTTAGCCACGCCTCCCGCTGGGCCGTGCTGCCCCAGTTCCGACGAAGGCAAAGCAGCGAAGTCCGACGTGTTGGTTCCCCTATCCCTGACACAGGACCTGACAGGCACCAAAGGGGTGGGAGTGGATTATCCATCATCATGTTGAGAAAAGGCATTCAGGTAAGACAACACCCCTTCTCCAGCATGAGGATGGATAATCCATGGATTGGGACATACCAAAGCCTACACTGTCCCTATGGGGGGGAAACAGTCAGGGCATGTGTCCCTCTGGATGGCACCACACGTTGTAGCACCCTCCGGCCAAAAGAGGCATCAGCGGAGGCAAATTTATCGATTGAAAAAGCAAAACCCGATACTATCTGAGAGAACCAATGCGTCCTGCTGGGTATAAGACTAAGTCGGAACTGGGGCAGCACGGCCCAGCGGGAGGCGTGGCTAACTCTCAGACTCAGTCTATTGGGTAGAAGGGACTTCAGGAAACCCAATCTTTGGATTATCCATCCTCATGCTGGAGAAATCGATGAACTCATGTACTTAAACGTGTTTTAGGCAAACTCAAAAGGTCTTAACAAAGTGGGTTTTTAGCACAATTTAACAATTGTTAATTGATGAAATATTTATAATCTGTCTCATGTGTAATGTGCATTTGAATAACCAACTTTTCTCTCCCCTTACCCCAATTCAAATCTGACATCAGTCTAGCCATTCCATGAATCTGATGAAGTGACTTGCCATTCATGAAATCTCATGCCTTTTGGCAAAGGCAAAAAAGACTGAGTAATTTTAAATTGTTACTGGGTTAACAAAGTCATATAGTAAGCAGAACAGTTTGTATTGGGGAGTAGTCCAAAACTGCAAGAAACACAAAATATATCAGTTCAGTTAATTCAGAAGGTCAGGTATAGCCTACATGGAAATTAATCAAAGTGTGTGTGGGGGGAAATTCCTCTGGATTTGTCTTCTGAATGAGGAATACCACCGCTCCAATTATTTAAATCGGTATACAAATATATTCACCACTTTGCTTATACTAACTAAATATTTAATTCTCTTTCACTCTAACATATCTCAAAGGTGAACCGAGAAGAATAAAACATGGAAACTTCAGTCCATGCAACA